AATGTGAAATCTTTGCTATATTTATATCTAAACCTCAATTTCTACCTTAAGCAATGGCTGACTTTACTATCGAGCTCCAGGCATTTGTGAAGACGCATCTGTATAATTATGAGCGTAAACTTCATTGGCCAAAACATTTACAATAAGTTTTATGGCCCTCACAAGAATTCAGAATCAAGGTAAGCATCTTGTATTTGTATATTAGAATTTCTGGGAGGTTTTGGTACCCAGATGAAGAGGTGGTACTGACGCAAATTCAGAGAGGACTTGTAATCTCGTTAGAAGGCAAGCAGATACGGGAGAATTTTAAATTGACTAAAATGAGCAAAGTTCTATTATCTTGCAAGAGACTTAAGATATCCTGTCCTTCGATGCACACAGTTATCAAACTCAACATTTCTCCTATCCACTAAAATTTTAGTGAAAAAGATGAGGGTATTAAATTAGCCAAAACATAAATTCTAGAAAATACTCTTTGGGCTCAGTGTCTGTTATTTCAATATATGAAGAAAAGAAAACCTTAAAAGATGAGATTCTTAAAGACTAGATAGAAAGGATTAAGAAACTGGCCACTGGGTGCCAACAGGTGGTGGGTGGTAAGATGCTAGACTCCCACAGAGCCAACCATAGTTCAAGTCCCAGACCTGGTGGCTTGCTTTTTTACTCTCTCTCTCTCCCCCATCTCTGGTGGGCATGCATGCTCTGTGACAAATTTAAATAAATAAATTAATTCTTTTTTTAAAAAAAGAAGCTGGCTATCTTGCCTTTTTCTGAATCCTTATTTATTGGATTAGTTGTTTGAAATATGTGTGTGTATATGTGTGAGTATGTACATCTATATGTGTGAGTATGTGTATCTATGTATATATGTGTACATAAATGATTAGGAACACATATATCAATACGATAATATTGATATATTAATTTATATCTTGTTTTATTCCATAAAGAATTTAAAACAAACAGAATAGAACAAAACAAGTTAGGTTATGCTTTGAGCTCTTGATCTACAGAACATAAATTCTAGAAAATGTGACTTGCTAAATTAACCTTAAAGAAACAGATAGCTAGAAAGGGAAAGTCCAAACAAAGAATATAGGGGTCTAGAAGAAGGAAAAAGAAGCCTTAATGTTGGGATAAAGTGCTTCAATCACCTCATTTGACTTCCTGATTGGAGTCACCTCTCAGCATTTCAAAAAAGTTTGATAAAAGCATTTAGATATCAGGACCAGCAGTTAGTGTAATAGCTATGTCGCTGGACTCCCATGTAATCAACCACGGTTCGAGTCCTGGACCCGGTGGCTTAAAACTCACGCTGGGCACGTGTGCGTGTGTGCCCAAGATCCCGAGAGAATGGAGGAGAAGGGATTGCGGCATGGCCATCCCCCCTGGGGGGGGGGGATTTCTCGCTTTCTGTCTCTCTGTTTCTCTCTGTGTGTCTGGTGCGCGCACAGGTCCTATAGCAAAAAACCTCTTAAAAAAAAAGCATTTAGATATCTACACTTTTAAACAATTAAAGCCTAAAGGCCAAATAAGCAAAATAATTAGTCACCATCTACAATTAGTAGCCTACTTCTTCCTCTAGTTTCCTGAGGGGCAGTCTGACAGCAGCTATACAGCACCCCTAACAGGAGCTTGGGCACTTGTTTTCCACTGTCTTCTCAATGAGTCCTTTGACTTCATCATAACAAGTATGCAAAGGTATTCAAATAATATCTCCTCTGAAATTTTACAGCTGTAAAGATAGAGCATATTAAACATTGCCCCAGTGTTTCTGGCATTAAACTGTTACATTTTACAAATCAGATTATACAAAGTTGTTATATCTTTTAAGGCAGGCAAAAGCAGCAAACATATGTCAGTCTCACTATGCTAAGTCACTCTTGTTAGACCCTTGCATCGAATGCCATGTTGTGACGCGTCTAAAGATTCCTCTTAATTGCTGCAAGATGAAATTAAATTCCTAGAAAGTCAACTGCATTTCTCTTCTTTCAATCATGCAAGACCCATTCCCGAATTGCCAGGCTACTGTTATATCCTTATCACTAGCCAGAAGAAAGTATAAGAAGAGCTATACAGTCCTTATTTATCCAGTGAAGCAAACGTTTATCCTTGTTTGTCTTGGCAGTAAAAAGGTTGAAAAGTGTAATCGAAAAAAACCCTTGCAATAAAATTTTCCAGTAAATATTTCTAAGGTAGCCTGAAACAAGAAAGGTGCATTCTTCATACCACTCTTTCAGCACTCAAGGGGTAGTGTTCTATTAAGCTCAATGATAGGACCACTTAGTAACTCTAGCTCGTATCCAATAAATAATAAATTAGTAATGTTATTGTTCATTTATCAACATTCTAGCCCTGGGGCAGAAGATGAGAATCCAAGTGAGAATTCAGCCTAGGTTTAGTTTGAATCACTACTTCTGACAAACTTTGAAAGACTCCTTTAAACCTGCTGTATCTCAATGTTTTTTCCTTCTTGCTGCTCAAAAAGCAGAAAAGAAAGGGCCAGAGGACACATCTCAGCCTCCTGCCTATCCAAAGGGATAAGAGCCTTCTCAAAGACAACCCAGGACTCATGAAACTAAAGCACACGACTTCTTTAAAATATCTACCAATCCCTGGTCTGTTGCCAACTTCTGATCTGCCCCTTCATGAAGAAAAAAAATCTGTATGGGAGAATGAGAAAAGGGGGAGTAAGTGGGCATGAACAGTAGAACAATCTGGCAAACCCTTTCATAGTACAATAATTCAGGAGCATGGCATCTGATCGAAAAGAGACTCTTAGAGTAGGATAAAGGAAAGACAGTTTTCTGTCAATAAACACCTAGAATCTCTTACTGAGGTACTGAAAGGGAAGGTTATGAATAAGAGGAAGATAACAATGAGGGAAGTTAGTAGCCAAACACAACACTAATTGGGTCACCTGGAAAAGAACACCATCTCCTTCCTTTGAGTCTAATGTCTGGTTAATGAATCCTTCTAAAGAGGCCCAGAGAAGAATGGATAGGCAGAGCACTCATACTCCACACTGGCTCAGTTTGACCTCCACAACAATAAATTGGGCACATCACGCAGTGAAACCGATTCAGGGTTACCTAGCCCCAGGCACAAAAGAAAACCACCAGGACTCTCAAATTCTCTATATAGCTTTAGAATATATGTATTACAGATCTAGAGGGACATGAATAAGCAAATCTACAGTCTTTCCAAAACTACAGAGTTGAATAGCTCATTTCTTTCCAGTCAAAAGTAGAGGTGAGGATAATGGAACAAAATAAAAGGTAGTTACAATGCTAGGCATTCAGAGTACAGGCATCCAACCTATTACAACATAAACAAATGGACACACACTACAGGACTTGGTAGAACAAAAACTGTTGCTTTATAGACCTAATTGGAATGAGAAGGCAGTCTTTTCCCCCTAAACAAATCTTCAGAGGTATAAAATTAACCTTAGAGAAAGGTGTAAGGGATAGAAAAAATATATGTATCTGACAAATGCCTACTATGTGCCAGGGACAATTTCCAGGATCTTTTTATGCTCTGGATTGAAGAGTGTTGAGGGTAATTTGTCTGTAAGAAGGATAAGAATCTATTGGTGATGCCCGACACCAAACAACAGGACAAGCAAGGCCATGGCACCTAAGCATCCAGAGTCAGGAACTCTGATGATGCAGTTGGAAATGGGCCACTGGGGTTTGCAGACATGTCATTCGGACTCTCTCCTAAGCATATTAGAGACTTGGGGATCGTGGCTCTGGCTAGTAGAGAAGGAAGATACGCCACAACATCATTCTGGACATATTTTTGGGTTGACAGAAAAGAAGCCCCTGCCTAGAGTGAGAGAGGATGTCTCCCACCCTTCTCTCTCATGGATTTTTAGTTAGTTGAAAGCTGAAACCTCTCTCCCAGACCAGCAGGTGATTTTGGGGGTGCCCAAAGCTATTAGGAAGTTTTTATTTGAAACACTGTCATAAAAGCAACTAGAAAGCCCGCAGAAACCTGTACTGGGACATCTATTATTTAACCTGAGTCCAGCCAAAAAATTTACCTGGGAAATATACTGTACTTCCTAAACCAGATACACAGCGCAGTATCTAAAACAATCCACATTAGCAGATACAAAGCCTTAAAATGTGCCCAAGTACGCATTCACAAAGTTTCTGTTATGAGACATTAAATCCTGTTAACTTAAAAGTACAGTAACTTCAAGCAATTTTAAAAAATGATCTTTGCCCTTATAATAGCCTCAGCAAATATTCCCTATTCATATTTACTTATAAATGCGAACAGGAAATGGTACATGATATCACAAGTCCAGAGACCTTAACGACCAAACATCAAGGTATTGGGCATTGAAAGACCACAACCAAATATCAAGGTACTGAGCAAGTCCTATGAGACTCTGAGCACTTCATGATTCATGTGTCAGAATTCTATTGGTTCCCTCTGGTAGAAATATTTTTTGAGTAACTAAAATATTCTTATCTATGAAGCACAAACACATCATAATAATATTATAAAACTGAGTCAAGATTCTAAGTTGCTCCTAACCAGCTTTTAGAAATTCAGACATATTGATATTAGATGTCAGAAATGTATATGTGTCCTTCCCCAGAGAATTTTCAAATAAAAGAAAGCAAACCACTAAAAAAAAAGAAAAAAAAAAAAAAAACAAGTCCCAAAGCTCCTTTTTTCCCTTTCATTTATTAGTTGCCATTTTGCAAAGTTTTTTGTAGTTGTTGTTTGCTTTCTCCATGAAATGTTTGCAATTATAAATGACCTCTCCTCCTCATGTGTGATCCTTCTTTTGAGATGGTTTATACTAACAAGTAATTTTTTATTGCATAACCATTACTTTCTCAGACAATATTTGGTTCTATTTTGCTTTTCATTCTTACTTGATACCAATATTATGGCCGAAGGCAAGTTCTCATCTGGTACCTGTCCTGGAATTTTAGAATTCTGAGTTATACAAACAGAAGGGGGTATTGATTACTCACCATATCCAGGAATGTCTTCTAAAGGGGAAATTATTCACGTGCATCATGTTCGCAGATCTTCTGTCATAAATATTTTCCTTGTCTCCTGTGTTACATGTAGTGATTTTCACAGATGAATTTTAACTCTCCTATTTGAGCAGCTATCGTGGGCAATTATTGCAACAAGTATTGAATTCCAAAAAATACCCTCCCTCCCCCCCAAAAAAATAGCTATAACAAAAAGCCCTTCCAAGGATTTGAAGAAAGAGACATCACAGAGCAATGCAGGTATGGGTCCATCCATTTAGGTTCCACTAGTTAGTCAACACACTAAAATAACTAGTTCAACTGTTAATCCTAAATGGTGGTAAATATTGTCCTGGTAAAATCCAACACTTGAGTATAAATTAATGCATCCTCGCAGGAAGGACTCTGGAATGTAGGAAAAAAGGAGTCAAAATACAGTTTCTTGTTATCCTTGTTAAAGAAGTGTTAGAAGGGAAATGGAAAACTTCAGGTTGCTTTGCCATGCTGTCCTTTAGAAATGAATATTGCTTTTTCTTCTTTCTTAGGCACATATTCATGTGTGGTCACTTTAACGCGGTGCTACCGTCTGAGACGTGTCGGACAAAGACCTGGGCAGAGGGGCTAGGAACCATGTATAACCAGAGCCAACTTCTTTCCCAGATCTCAGAATTGCTGATTTCAACTGCAAAAGTAGGAAGGCAATGAGTAATTTCTGCTTTGCAGGACAAGATTGCCATTAGCTACCACCATGACTTCAGAAGGTGCTGTCGTGATGAAATTCATCTCCACTGCCTAGCCCCATAATAAGACTGTCTGCTCTCCTTAAGTAAAATGACTAAGCTATTGATCCTTTTACTGCAGAATCTCCTTTAATTTGTTGTTATCAAAACCATGTGCGGGCTTTTCATATCTTGCCTCGGAAAGAAAATGAATTTCACAGCTGCAAGTCAAACGTTGTCTAAGAATTTCTTCCCCTGCTGTCTTTCTTGTCTCTTTCTCTCACTCTCTCTTCCTTTTGTTTTTAACCCCAAATTCAGATCCCCAATAGGTGTCATTTACTCTGATGCTCTGACATCTTCTGAAAGATTCTCATGCCCAAGCTATACAGACCTTGCATGCTTTTAAAACACAATGGCAACAGGCTCCTGCTGGAGTCCCTCAGCGCCGAATTTCCAGCAGAACCTTTGGTAATCGTCGCGGCCGGCTTGTCTGCCCTGGGCTGTGCCGCCCCAGCTCTGAGCAGCTCAGGACACTTGCAGGCTCGGTGGTACTGTACATTAACTCTGCAGCAGCCCAGCTCGGCTGCAGACACTGCTGCCTGACAGGGATGTGCTGGCGTCAAGGGGGCCCTCTAGGTGGGTTCCCAGACACTGCAGAGCGGTGCACTCCTCGCTAGCCTCCAAGGAAGAACAAGCAAAAGGGGTTAAAAGAAAGGGCTGGCCCTGAAAGAGCACATTTATTTCAGTAAGTAATTACCAGGCAAGATAAACTAAACAGCAAAAAAACCCTGCATATAACCTCACAGGGAAATGACACCTTGAACAAACAGATATTACAGAGGGCCAGGTTTTTGTTTTGGTTTGGTTTGTTTCCCTTCCTACCCAATGAAAAGAAAGGAAATAACAGAAGTCCAGAGAAATTTGCAAATGACAGGGTTGGGTCATTTAGGCTTTAAAAAAAATTTCACGAATTTGGGGTGGGGAAGTCTGGCTAACTGGATGATTTGTAACCATTTAGCCACAGAGGACCACATGGTGATTTTTGGACAGGAAATCCTGTGGAAGCCAGAGCTGCGGAAGTCAGTTACACTTCAATTGCAATTGCGCAGGCCATAAAGCTGCTTCTGTGATTAGGGGGTGTGTAGATTTGAAGAATGCTTAGATATTTTGCATTTCTTCAAGCTTGCCCCTTTGTTACAAAAATTCTGTTCAATAATCCCCTGGAAGCGCCCCATCACTGTTGATGCCATTTTGGAGCAAGAATAAAATAGTAAACTCTTGTAATAGTAGGATGGCACTTAAATGGTGTTTGTTTGAAACCAGTAGGAGAATGGACTATATAATAATAGAAGTGTTCTCAATATTAATGTATCACTTTTAACTTAAGTATTTAAAAAGCTTCTTATGCAATTGCTTAATATTAAATGGAATTCTGGCAACACTTAATATATTATGCTATTATCTTCAGTTAGGTTTTCCCCAGTGAGATTCTGTCATTGCAGAAAACATTACCCAGGGCTGAGTGGGAGGCATTTCCCACAAATTCAAAACCAGGTATAAAGAAATTTATTTACTTTTGAAAACTGCCATGATTTGGGAAATTTTCCTTTTGATCAAGTGGTGATCCTAATAGAAGCATTCCTGGGAAGCAGAATCTTTAAAAGCAGTTTGAACTTGTGGGTTGAGAAGGATGGTGCCACAGCATAAAAAGAACTTGAGATTTGTGGGGTTTTCCTGTAGCCTAGGCATTGTCCTCTTGGCCTCTTCTAAAGGAACTAAATCTTTTCCAAAAGGTCAGTTGTGATCTGTCCCAGAACTCTAGCCAAAATTTTTCTTTTTGTGTGCTAGTTTTTGCTGTAGTGTACATGCACCCTCAAGAGAGAGAGAAAATGAGACATTGCCCCCTGAGGGAATGGTCACACTGCAATCCCTTCTGCATGCTTATCTCTTGTGCATATGTGCACATGCACCTGGTGTGAGTTTAAGCCACCAGGTCTAGGATGACTCTCAAGCCACCAGATCCAAGACTTAAACTGCGAAGCTGGCCATGTGGGATCCAACCTTAACCTCCATGCCACCTGCTAGCCCCAGCCTGAATTGTTTTTAACAGTCTTTGAATGCTTTGAATCAAGCATTATTGACTAATTAAAAATTTAATATTCAATTTTTAAATGCTATTATTTAAAAGATAAGAACACTTACAATGTCCCATTCTAAATGCCCCATTCTAAAATGTTACATTAATATCTCATTTACTCCTACAACAACACTGTTAGGAAAGGAGTATAATTCGCTCTGTCCTGCAGATGAAGACGTGAGACACTCAGATACTGAGTACCTTGCACACTCCAAGTCAAACAACTAGGAAGTCACCATCTGAACTAAGACGACGGTTTGAAGCCACCACTGTAGTCTACTACTTCTGTAATAATAATGCCCCCTTGCATTAGTGTTACACTTTCTAAATAATTTTTTAAAATCATTTTATTTTAGACTCACATACCTATGCTGCAGAGAGTAAGATATTTATTAAGCTTATGTTGGAGATGAATCCATTCTTACTAGCTACCTTTTCATTTGTGGGAGGTAATACAATCTAAGCACTTTTCAAATAAAAAACATGAATGATATAGTCATTAGTTCATTAATAGAGACTTAAAATTAAAATACCTATAACTTAAGAGGTGTTGACTGAATGTTTTTAAAGTAAACTTCTCTTGACTTTTTAAATTTAATTTTTAAACATACAACCACCTAGAATAAAAAGTAACAAATTAAAATGAAATAAAACACAACTGAGAAGCTATACGATAAACAGTAGAAAGCAAAATTTCTGCCAGAAGAATAACAAAGGATAAAATGTAATTTATTTCACAGTTCAAGGAACCAAGACGACACACTAATAAACAATCCCAAAGTGAGTATTTTCACAGACTTAAGGCAACAAATATAAAAGAATGGGTTTGCTTAGAGAACAGAAATAGCTCACTTCCTGCAATTTTTATTCCACACACATTAGAAACAGAGTCTTAAGAATTATGACTACAATTTTACAAACTGATACTTCACAAAACTGAATACTTCGTAAATGTGTGTGACCTTCAAAAACAACAGATAGGCATAACTAATAGGTCTGTAATTTAAAAATAAGTTATCAAAGATGAACAATGTCAATGGACTTAGGTAATACTTTTTGTTCTACTAAAAGATAATTACCATTTTGTGGAACTTTGAAGAAATACCAGGAATAACCATAAAAGATGACTGTTCCAGAACGATTTCAGTCTTCTCTTTATAATAATAAAGGAATGCTGATTATTAGCTGGGCACCATAGATTGGCACACCTTTGAAGAGGTTCCTACAGTTATGGAGTAGCCTCAGCTCTACCAGCTCAAAAGCTGGTTTTGTTACTTTATTTATTTATTTGGGGTTTTGTATATTTGTGTGTGTGTGGTTTTCAAAATTGTACTCCCACAGCTAGAACAAGAATAATTGGTCTTTCTGGGAGGTACTCATATTAACCACTCTCATATGAAACCAATGTGAGAGGAAAGGAAAAAAAAAAAAAAACAAACTCAAAAAACAGAATATCAATTCATTGAATAAAGTGTAAACTATAAACTCAGAGGAGACTAAAATAATTGAATCAACATTTTCATCAAAAATTGTGCATCCAAAATCAGAGCAAGAAGTATTAACTAGTCAGTGTCTCCAGGTCCATTTCCAACAAAGTCCCTTTTGCTCATGTCTAGGGGGGTATACTCTTAAAAATGATGTTTTCTGAACTAAGTTCCTTGAAATCCTATGGTTTTACAAAGTTGCCTCAAGTCAATTGAAGGTCAAAGGGGAGGCCAGTCATCTTGGACTGTTTCTACCAGAGCTCCTCTACTTTTAACTGTTTAATTTCCAAGTTTAGTTTGAAAAAGGAAATCTGGCTAGTTTGAAAAGTTTATAAAAATATAACAGTAAGGGGACTAGTAGATGGCATAATGGTTACATTGCTAGACTTTCATGTAGTTAACAATGGTTCAAGTCTTGGACCTGGTGGCTTAAACTCACACTGAGCGTGTGTGTGTGCATGCCCAAAATCCCAAGAGGAGAGTGAAGGAGAAGGGATTTTACTATAGCCATCCTCCCCGGGGGTGATTTCTCACTTTCTGTCTTTCTGTCTCTCTCTGTCTCTCTGGTGAGTGTGCGTGCCCTATAGCAAAAATCTCTCACTCAAAATAATAAATAACAATAAGAAAATAAAATTAAGACTTTCTACTCAAATTCTTATCATTATCAGTCTCAAGATGCCATCCTATTTAAACCCCTTCAATTTATACACACCCTTTACAGTAATACTATGATTAAGTTATACCCTTGTGCTAATACAAACATAGCAATATAAAGCTACGCCCTAGTCTTTGAACTTGAGTGTCACTAACTCTTTAGTCACTTGTACTTATCAGATATGGAGGGCATAATGAATTTTCCCATTGATTTTCCTGGAGTTTCACTTTCAGAAAGTTATTTTTCTGTCACTATCACATTTTGGTATACTCAAAAGTTAACATTAATGTCTGCCAGTTAAGTAACTTAGATGAAATAAAATTAAAACTCCTCTGTACTAATCATCAGTTCAGATATTTTAGGAAAGTCCCCATTCTAGCAAAAGGCTAGATAACTTTTGTCCCTTAGTTGTCAAAAACAAAACTAAACCAAACTATTTGATCCTGCTATTCTTCAAACTTAGGAAAGTCCCCATTCTAGCAAAAGGCTAGATAACTTTTGTCCCTTAGTTGTCAAAAACAAAACTAAACCAAACTATTTGATCCTGCTATTCTACATACTGAGTTTGTATAAATGTATTCACATATATAAAT